TACCTTTCCAACCCCAATGATCTCACCTTTCTTTCCATTACCAAAGGAGACATTACCTCCCTTTAGGTCCTCAAGTGAAAGGAACTGGTCCTTGTCCCCAGTCATATGTTTTGAGCAGCCACTATCCATATACCATATTTGGCTCCTCCCTTTCACTTGGACCTGCAAAAGGAAATCGGGGGTTAGTCTTAGGAACCCAAATCAGTTTGGGTCCCTTTCTATGGGCAAAAGGATGAATCAGATTCTTTCTTGCCCAACTAGGCAGCTTGTGCTTTTCTTGAACAAAAGCTTTGTTTCTTTGACTGGCCTTTTCTTTTGCATTACATTCATATTTGTAATGGCCAGTGTTACCACAATGTGTGCAGATTTTATTTTCAGGAAGAGTGAGGTACTTGCTTTTTGGATCCCATTTTGGAGCTTGAGTCCCATAGCCAAGTCCTCTTTTGTTACTGCTATGATGCTCTTGCAGCCAGGAGAGAGCATCAGAAGCCTTGTTCCACTTGCAAGTTCTGTCTAGTTCATGTTTTACCTTTCCTAGATCTTCTTTCAAGACTTTAATGAATTCATCTTTCTTGTATAATTCATCTTTCATTTTTCCCAGATTTTCTTCTAGAGTGAGGTATGTGTGATCAGCTTTCTTCTTTCCTATTCCTAATTTCAGTTTTAAGTTTTCAGACCTAAGCTCTAGGACACTGTTATCAAGTTCAAGAACCTGGTTCTTCAACTCAGCATTGTTGTTATCAATCTCATTTGCCCTAGACTCTAGACTTTTACATTTTGCTTTTAGAATCACACATTCCCTAGACAGAACTTCCTTCTCATTATTAATTATCTCAGACTCATCAATGAAGTCTATTAATAACTTAGCCAGCCTTTCTTTAGACAAGAATTTAATCTTGTCTTTGAGATGAAGAATACTTACCTCTTGTTCATCATCTGATTCTCCGATAGCCATTAGTGCTTGCTCCTCCTCAGCTTCATCTTCTGAGTCTTTATCTGAGGTTTCTCCCCAAGCGGCAACCATAGCCTAGGTTGAACCTTTGTTTTTCTTTGGTTGAACCTGTTCCTTCTTCCTGTTCCTTAGTTCAGCTCTTTCTTTCTTCCACTCAATTTCCCATTGAGGGCAGTTTTTGATCATGTGGTCAGTCTTACCACACTTGTAGCATCCCTCATTGGTCTGTTTCTCCGGAGCTCTTGTTTTATTGAAGTTTGTACCTCTTGAAGAACCCTTTCCTCTCATAAAGTACTTCTTGAAATCCTAGTGATCATAGCCACTTCATCATCTTCCAAATCTGCATCTTCAGCAATTCTGAGAGCCAAGCTTCTCTCCTTTTTGGGGGTATCCATCTTCATGGTTTGTCTCCTCATTTCATAGGCAGTTAAGTTTCCAATCAGTTCATCCAGTCTAAGGGTAGCAATATTCTTGGATTCCTGAATGGCAGTGATTTTGCTTTCCCATGTGACTGGCAGAACTCTTGTCAGAATCTTCTCAACCTTGTCTTCTTCAAGAATAACCCTTCCAAGAGACTTAAGTTCATTTGTCAGTATGGTGAACCTTGTATACATCTCTTGGATGGTTTCCCCTTCCTTCATGGTGAAATTCTCATATTGAGAATACAGCAGTGTTGCTCTGGACCTCTTCACTTGAGGTGTTCCTTCATGAGCCACTTGCAAAGTGTCCCAGATTTCCTTAGCAGTGGTGCAGCTTTGAATCCTGCTGTACTCGTCTGGTCCTAATCCACACACAAGCCATTTCTTGGCCTTGGCATTCTTTTCCCATTTTTTCAAATCTTCAGCAGTGCAATCAGCTCTTGTCTTTGGCACATCAACTCCTTCAGCATTCTTCTTTGTGGTTGCTAGGGGACCATCAGTGACTATGTCCCAGAGTTCATAGTCTTCCCCTATGATGTGATCTCTCATCCTGTTCTTCCACCAAGAATAGTACTGACCATTGAAAAGTGGAGGCCTANTTTCCATTATTGTGCACATAGCACTTGCAACCAAATGCCCTAAGATGGGATATATTTGGTTTTCTCCCTTTAAGTAACTCATAGGGAGTCTTCTCTACTAGAGGTCTGGTCATGCATCTATTTATGATGTAACATGCAGTGTTTACAGCCTCTGCCCAGAAAATGTGAGGCAATTTGCTAGATACTAACATTGTTCTAGCCATATCCTCAAGAGTTCTATTTTTCCTTTCAACTACTCTATTTTGTTGTGGAGTCCTAGGTGCAGAGAAGTTGTGATCTACGCCATTTTCATCACAGAACTCAGCAAACTTAAAGTTTTCAAACTCAGTTCCATGATCAGATCTAATGGATACAAGTTGATTTCCTAATTGTTTATGAGTTTTCCTAACAAATGCAGAAAACATGTCAAATGCTTCATCTTTGGAAGTTAGAAATAAAACCCAGGTGAATCTAGAATAGTCATCAACTAGCACCATTACATACTTCTTTCCACCTCTGCTCATGGTTCTCATTGGACCACATAGATCCATATGAACCAGTTCCAACGTCTTGGGCGAACTTACCATTTTCTTGGATTTGAAGGATGACTTTACTTGCTTCCCCTTTGCACATGCCTCACAAACTTTGTCTTCCTTGAACTTGATATTAGGTAACCCTATAACCAAGTCCTTGGAGACTAATTTGTTTAGCTGATTTAGACTGACATGACCAAGTCTTTTGTGCCATAGGAGGGGATCATTAACCAACACACTTAAACAAGTGAGTTCATTTTCTAAAAGAGTGGACAAATCTACAATGTAAATATTGTTAATTCTTTTTCCCTGCAAAACAATCTTGTCAGTGATAAGGTTAATCACAAAGCATTTTGTGGAGGTAAATGCCACAAGATTACCTCTGTCACACAATTGTGACACACTTATTAGGCTATATTTCAAGCCATCTATGAGGTAGACATTCTCTATAGAATGAGAATCTATTTTTCCTACCTTTCCAACCCCAATGATCTCACCTTTCTTTCCATTACCAAAGGAGACATTACCTCCCTTTAGGTCCTCAAGTGAAAGGAACAGGTCCTTGTCCCCAGTCATATGTTTTGAGCAGCCACTATCCATATACCATATTTGGCTCCTCCCTTTCACTTGGACCTTCAAAAGGAAATCGAGGGTTAGTCTTAGGAACCCAAACTAGTTTGGGTCCCTTTCTATGGGCAACAGGATGAATCAGATTCTTTCTTGCCCAACTAGGCAGCTTGTGCTTTTCTTGAACAAAAGCTTTGTTTCTTTGACTGGCCTTTTCTTTTGCATTACATTCATATTTGTAATGGCCAGTCTTACCACAGTGTGTGCAGATTTTATTTTCAGGAAGAGTGAGGTACTTGCTTTTTGGATCCCATTTTGGAGCTTGAGTCCCATAGCCAAGTCCTCTTTTGTTACTGCTATGATGCTCTTGCAGCCAGGAGAGAGCATCAGAAGCCTTGTTCCACTTGCAAGTTCTGTCTAGTTAATGTTTTACCTTTCCTAGATCTTCTTTCAAGACTTTAATGAATTCATCTTTCTTGTATAATTCATCTTTCATTTTTCCCAAATTTTCTTCAAATCTTCAGCAGTGCAGTCAGCTTTTGTCTTTGGCACATCAACTCCTTCAGCATTCTTCTTTGTGGTTGCTAGGGGACCATCAGTGACTATGTCCCAGAGTTCATAGTCTTCCCTTATGATGTGATCTCTCATCCTGTTCTTCCATCAAGAATAGTACCGACCATTGAAAAGTGGAGGCCTAGCAGTGGATTGCCCTTCCCAGTTCCCAGGTGGTGCACTCATCGTTGATCTTCTCCTAAGGTGTTAGCCTCTTCAAGGATAACCTGCTCTGATACCAATTGATGTTCTTAGACGTCAATACCACACAAGAGGGGGGTGGGGTGATTTGTGTGGTACCTAATTTTCGCACTAGAAGAACCTGGTTCTTCCAGATGTACTTACTAAGACTGTTTGCGGAATTAAGAGTGCATAAAATAAAGAACACAGAGATTTTTACGTGGAAAACACCTGGCTCAATAGGTGAAAAAACCACGACCTACTACTCAGTAGGATTTTCCCAAACTTCCACTAAAATCACTGAGCCAAAACAGCATTTACAAAACTCTTTGTAAACCTAAGGATTAAACTCTAATCCCAGTGTGGCACACAGCCTCAACTGCTGCGACACTTTCAAGTTAACTCTAACTTGAATACTCAAAGTACCTAATACAATTGCTTCTAGATAAAGCTGAAAGGTACAATATGAAAACACCTACTACAATTGAACTAGATTAAAAGAAAGACACAATGGAATTGGTTCTTCTATCTTATCCAAGTAGCTTCAGGTTTGCACACTTGAATCTCATGTAAATTGCTTGCAAAAAGCCTTGCTATTTTGCTCTTCGATTTAGTTTCACTTCTGCGTTTTTGTGCAACACTGTAAAAGAGAACAATCATTATTATTTATAGAGTTAGTAATCAGAGTTTGATTAAAACTCGACTTGCTGATCCTTCATCAAATTCGAGTCCTAGAACAATTCAAACCCCAATCCTTATTCTTGATCCGGATGTAGTTCTCTTCACATAAGGAGACTTCAACTCCTTATCCTATGCAACCTTTTCGATCAACTCAGAAGATATTGTTGCTGACCCTTGAGACTTATCTTCACACGTATGTCACGTGTATAAGTATATCAATACTGTGTCTGTCTCACATGATGGACCTGGTTCATGACTAAGTTAATTTTGTCAATCTTCAAAACTTCATTTGAATTTGGGCCAACAAACTATAATTCTTGTACTGCAAGAAATATACAAATGAAATATTCTACACTTGGCTGACATCTTCCCACAAATGATGAGGCTGATTCTCACATTATATCACAATGAAACCCCAAATAAAAGATTAAGAGTAGCAGTATCCGCATGAATCAGAAAATAGACAAAAGATTTGAGAAAATGTTCTGAGATTTCATTCACATAAAGAATCAACAAATAATTAGTACTTGATATGCCTAATGAATGAATATAATAAAGTACCTTTCTTGGTATGAAGGCTAAGGAGTCCTCTAGCAGGACCCAGGTTTCAGATTTAGATCAAATTTGTTCTCAAGAAATAAAAAAGATAAAGTTTCCAACAATGAAGGCAACTTTGCAACTCAATGGTTGGGGTTCTTTATGATCCTTTGTAAGATAACAGTCCTTGCCCTGCGAATATCTCGGCTACACACATCAGCTTGAACTCCAAGATCTTCAACATTCTTCATAAAAACATCAAGCTTCTTCCTTATCTCTTCTATACCAAGCTTTACAGCCTGTTCATCAATTGCAAAGTCAACATTCTTCAAGAGTGAATCAACCTCAATTTCCAATCGATCTATTAGCACTCTGATGGTGTCCAAGTCCTTAATTGTGATAAAAGTACCCACATACATTGTGTTGATCAACTCCTTCTGCCCTTTGAGAACATCTTCATACTTCTCTAGAAAGGAATCAATCCACTTTCCCATAGAGCCAAATGGAACAGCAGCTAGAGCAGATGCAACTGCTGGAACTGTTATGACAGTAGCCACCACTGAGCAAATTATTACAGCAGCAAAAGTAGCCGCAAATATTACATTTGAGACTTTCCTCCAAGCATGGATGTACTTAAGCCTTTTGTCAAGCTTATGCTTTTTCAGCTGCAACTTCTCGAGCATCAGCATTTGCTGCATATAAACTGACTGGAAAATTTGGAAGAATTCCTCAGTGAAAGGTTCTCCAGCAGCTTTGAAATTCTTCAATTCCTCTAAGGTCTTTTTATAGCTATTCCCTTCAACCCCACTCTCCTCTTCAAATTGTTGAAGTGCTACAAGAATCAGCAACTGACTATCCCGAGCTCGTTTTAGGCATTTCTCCAATGCAGCCAAGAAGTCCAAAGTTTTCAGGCTATTATCAAAGTACTCCTCAACAAGCTCAAACAATTCTCGAGTCTTCCATATGTCCTTCTTGCAATCCAGTATAACCTTCACAACTTCCTGATTCATTTCCAATAGGGATTCGGTTACTTGTTTCAACGAATTAAAGGAGAGTGCTCTAACTTCAACCCCACCAGCCAAGGTGTTGATAGCATGGCTGGTTCGAGCTTGTAGAGTTGCATCGAAGGACTGCAGATCAGCGTCAAGCCTGCACGCGGCTTCATATGAATTCAGCTCACTTATGTAACGTAGATTCTCCAATGTAGTTTCACCTGGCTTTTTGCTCATGTGCCCTCCCATGGTATAATCTCAATTCAGATTCAGGTTCTACATAAACAACAAGAAATTAAAACCAGTTAAATAAATATCTAAACTTAAGCAACTATATATTCTTTACAAACAAAACCCAAAACTAGTAATCCTCCTCTAAAGCTCTGATTAAGATTACAATTTTACTAGGGAAATAAACTCCAATCTCAGCTAACTATTCAAGTAAGATCAATAATATCCTAAGAAAAGAGAACCAATACTGAGAGCTAATAGTCAAAAGTAGAAAAGACAATTAATGGGATGACAACAAATTGAAATAAATACCCCCAATAAATGCCCAAACAACAAATCCTACAAAATAAAAAACACACTTTCATACAGGTACCAGTACCACAAGAAAAATTAGCAAGAAACTGCAATAATTCACAGAAAAGCTGAATAAAAGCAATACCCGGAAATGGGAAAATCCAACTTTTACCCAAAAGAATCGTCCTTTACAAATTCCTCAACTAAGGAGCAATAGATTAATCAAAAGATTAGCAGGACTTCTCAGATAAAATTGATTATGATGGGTAAGTAATAATTTGAAGAAAGAAGTTCTGAGTATATAAAGGGGCCGGGCTTATTGGAGGTGAAGAAGAGGAAGGAATAAAGAAAGATAGAGGCAGAGGAAGAAAGAAGAAGCTTAGAGGGTAATGAAACCGTTAAAGATATATAGGAGGTGGTGACGGTGGCTGAAATATCTTGCACGCATGAATTTAATTGATGGAAAACGCGGGAAGCAATGCTTCTTCTTCTTTTGTGCTTAACTAATACGAGACGGTTTACATTCAGTGATAAACAACCTTATAATATGATTTAGTTTCATATAAATTTCTTATATTTTAAAATCAAACACTTAATACCCTTTATACTATAGAAATCCTGCACTTACAACTCCTACTATTTGTATGATATCAATTTTTCGATTATTCTATTATGCATAACCAAAATTAGAGTTTTTGAAACTGTCTCAATTATGTTGGTTTTTCATCGGTATCACTACGGTTCGGTTAATTTTTGGTATTTTTTTTTTTGAGCAAACAGAAAATATATATATATTAAAAGTTAAGGAACATGCAGTACATGACTTTCATAGTTAGTATCGCATAGGACACTTTGCTTACCGAAGCTTGCTAAATTTTTACAAGCATCATAAGATAGGAATTTTCCAAAAATATATTGTTCTAGTAATTCAGTTTCTACTAGACTTTTTACATCATCTGGTGGTTCCACAAAAACTTTCTCCTTCATTAGATCAGCAGTTGCCTTCTTTGCCATTTGGTGAGCTACCTTATTCCCTTGCCTGAACTCGTGCTGGATGGTTACCTCCTTCTGTTGGTGCATTAACAACCTGCATTTGTTGATAATGTTAGCATAGAGTCTATTACCTTGTTGTATTGATAGGATTACCTCCGTCGAGTCTGTTTCTATTTGGAGAGGGAACATTCCCCAAGCATGAGCTGTTTTAAGTCCTACTAGTAATGCTTTGATCTCAGCATGTAATGAACCACGTGCATGAGCTGGTTTTGCAAAGCCAACTATCCAGTGTCCGTTGGCATTTCTGATTACACCACCCAGTCCACATTTTTGTAAATTATTGTTGAAGCTTGCATCTATGTTTAGTTTGAACCATCCCTTTGGGGGTCTATGCCATTTAATATTGACGTGGATTTTTGGGGAAGTCAGAATACTATTTTCGGTTAAGAGACTAAATTCAGTCGCCCTAGCAATGACAAGGTTGATATTGATAGAGTTTTTTGTATTGTTTTGGTTGTTGTTATTCCTGTTTATCCAAATGTCCCAGATAGTCCTTATGGATGGTGTATTTAAAATCAGTATACACTTGATGAATTCACCTATATGAGAGTAGAGTGGCCCGCTCCTATGAGATTTTGACCTAGTCTCTAGAGCTCTCATGAATAACCAGGCACGCACATGACCTATTGGGTACGTACTTTAATTTTATAGGACTTAGCAAAACACTATAATCATTTTTACTGCTTAAAGGGTGATGAATTAAGAAACATGAAAGATAGACAGAGTATAGATACATCAACTATTCTACAGTAGTGTAAAAGAAACTAAGCAGAGACAAAAAAAAATATAAATCACACGAGTAGAAAGATATTAACCAGATTGAGACTCAAGAATAAAGTCTATAGAAGATTAAATATCAAAGAGATAGATCTAAATCATACAAAAAGAAACCTATTTAATACATTATAGTTGTCACGCCCCAAAAACCGAGGAGCGCGAAAGGCGCTCAACCGAGTAAACCCGATTGAGCAAGCCTGTTAGGTTTCATACTACCCAAATTCGTCTTTGAATAAAGAGGAAATGTACTCCATTAATCAAATCATGAAAATATATCATTAACGACTTCCATTTCATTTCCATTAGTAACTTTGTTCATAATTTTGAAGATATTACAAGTTTTATACATCTTTGCCAAACATCAATATTTCTATTTTAATTCCAATACCCGACACCACCCACAACCTGTCTACAAAGCCTCTAAATACAACTGAAGAGTAATATGGAAATGCCTGCAACAAGTCTCTGGCTATACCTGAAAACACAAAGTACATGATAAACAATGATACAGGACCCCGAAATGAAGTGGGGCTCACCAAGTCAGCTGGAAAGAGGATGCACCACTAGCTGCGACCAACAATGTATGCTATGGAAGCACCTATATCCATTTAAAGATGTAGCGCCCCCGGTAAAAGGGACGTTAGTACTGTCGAATAGTACTAGTATGTAAAGGCAAACACCAATCTTAGTAGAATGAACAGAGAAACAAATAGAAGACGGTCATAATAATCAATAAGTGCTTCATAGAAATATTAAACAAAATACCAAGTAAGGATCACATAGATTCTGATTCATTCTTTCCATCTCTTTAGGTTAATAATCTTTAGTGCCAAGTGCCACAACCCACTATGCCACCGTGTTTTTGCACGGAGTCCGGTCTCAGCCCGACCGGCTAAGCCATCCCAAGTGAGACATATCCAAATTCAGAATGATAATCATAAGTCCAACATAAATGCCACCATGTATAAAGCATGGCGTCCGATCTCGGTCCGATCGGCTAAGCCGTCTCAAGTGAGACGTAACCATATTCACAATTTCATCCACAATGCCACCGTGTTCGTACACGGAGTCCGGTCTCGGCCCGACCGGCTAAGCCATCTCACTTAGGACATAACCTCTTTTAATTATTCATGTAATTCACATTTCTTTCCATTTTTCATTACATGGCACAAGCAGCCCCATTTATTAAGTAGTTCTTGGAACCTGGATACATTTTATAATTCAAGTCTTTCCCCTTTTTATTTGTTTGAATAACAGTGTCATTCATGTCAATAATTTCTACCACATAAGGCATTACACACATAAGGAAAAGAACTTGAAAATCATAATCACGTTCTCAAATAGCAAGATTACATGGTAAATATTTAGAATAATTACGGAACATAAATCTTTCAACCCAACTCATTAAGGCATTCAATTCTAGCATGATCAAGTCAAAACTTACCCCATTCATTCGGACACCAAGAGTTCAATTCTAAAAAGAAGAGAGTTAGCCATACGTACCTCAATAGAGCTTTTAAGAAAATTTTACTTTTAGAAGTCATTTTAAGACAGTTGAGTCGAGGCTCATTTCGTAATTTGATTAATATATTTTCCTCATTTCATAGGCATCACCAGGCACAATCATTATGCGGACCGCATAAGGATTTTGCGATCGCAGAATCTGCCACAGGATCGCATTTTGTCAGCCTTTGGTAATTTGATCATAACTTTGTGTAGGAATGTCCAAATGACGAACGGTTTGAAGCGTTAGAAACTAGACTCGAAGAACTTTCATTTGATAGGTTGTTAATCACTTAACACCTTATATATATATATATATTTATATGTGCTCGTCCAAAGTGTGGACTTGTGCGAACTCATTTGGAATTTTAGCCTATTGTGTCATTTTCTAACTTGACTTACACTTACGCTTCTCATTAGACCCCACATTACTTATTATATGACTTATATACTTATTTATCATATCCAATTGATGTCCATCATGTTAATAGCACGTAAAATATTATAATTAGCCTACCTAGCACCACGAAATTCTAAATTACTTAGCGAAATTTTCCGGGGCCTTACAGTAGTTTGTTACTCATAATCGCTAAAATACTTTGTGTCTTGCTAGTGAAAATATTGGAAATAATTTAGTTTCAATAGGAGTAGCATAATAGGTTTGAGAATTAGGATTTTGAGTTTAACTACTTGTTGGCTTGTAACAGTTTTCATAATTCTAAGCCCAAGGAAAAATATAAAGATTTATTATTTCTAAACTTAATATATAAATATATTTTTCACATGTAAGTTTACTCGGTACGGTTCTGTCAAGACCCGGAATTCCCACCTTCGGGACCGTGATGGTGCCTAACATCACATGATTGCTAGGCAAGCCAAATTTAGAATTTTATTAACCTTTTTCCTTTACATTTCATAGACTAAAATTAACAAACTAAATTAAGTAAAAGTAAATGCGGAAGCATGTAAATAACTTTTTGTCTATATACTGTTAACAATACCATAGTTATTACTACTACTCGGAATCTGGTGTCACAATCCACGAACATACTATGAATATCTACAAACATTGGATTGAAAGAAATTACATCTGATTTGAAAGAAAAGAAAACAGGAATATAGAAACATAGGAGGGGACGTTAGGGCCTACGGACGCCAGCAGGACTACCTTGGGTCTCCTAGATGAAAAGTCTGCAACCGACCTCTCGATCAGCCACTACCAGCTCCAAAATCTGCATAGAAAGTGCAGAATGCAGTATCAATACAACCGACCCCATGTACTGGTAAGTGCCGAGCCTAACCTCGACGAAGTAGTGACGAGGCTACGGCGGGGCAGTTACAATATAACCTGCATACAGTGCATAATAAAATAGAAAGAAGAACGTAGCAGATAAAATAGTAACTTGCAAGGAAAGAATTCAGAACTCCGGTATCTCATCAGTACCCATCTATAACCAATCCTTAAGTGTAAAGCCAAATTACAGAATAACTTGCACAGTAGAAAAAAGATAGATAAACACATGAACTGATGTGGCGCGCATCCCTAACTCACCATATAATCCTTATCAATATGAATATTCACCCTTATTACTCCATATCAATCCACCTTTATTCCTCCTGTTGCGGCGTGCAACCCGATCCCACCGTACAATAGTAATTCACCCTTATTTCTCCTCAACATACAACCCTTATTACTCCTATTGCGGCGTGCAACCCGATCCAACCAAATAATAGAATTTCACCCTTATTCCTCCTCAATATGTCACCCTTATTCCTCCGGTTGCAGCGCACAGCCCGATCTGTAACGACCCGGCCGGTTGTTTTGTGAATTAACGCCCTGATCCCCTATTAACTACTTCCCCGTGTTTGTTTCTGCTATTGTGAGTTGTCGGGGAGATTCGTTTTGAGTTTGGGAGTGTTTTGGGACACTTAGTCCCTAAATGAGAGCTTAAGCTTTAGAATTTAGACCGTAGTCGGAACAGTGTGA